GATTTGATCAGTTGCCGACCTAAGTTTGAGCGAGCTCTTACTAAACTGAGTTCAATTTGAGAATCAACTAATTTTGTTCATTTTTCAACTCTATTTGCTTGAAAGCCTTGATTTTTAAGGGATTTTTATTAGACAAATTTTTTTAACAACTTTGTCTAAATATAACTCCCAAAAAATTCCAAAATTTTAAAATACAAACCCTAAAACATCAAACAGACACCATCTTCCTCTTCTACCACTGCCTCTCACCTTAACCCACTGCTACAGTCGCCAACACCTCCCTCACCAGTGCCAACAGTCCCTTTCTTCTTCTTTTTTTCCCTTCTCACTCTCTCCTTTCCCTCCTCTCCTCTCTCCTCTTCCCGTCTCCTCCTTCCCTGCCACGCCCTCCTTCCCCTTCATGAGCCCCTTCCTCTTTCTCCTCCCTTGAGGGGATCGATGAAGGGAAAGGAGAAGGAGAGGGGAGAGGGGAGAGGGGAGAGGAGAGGAGAGGAGGGCGAGGACGAGGAGGCTGGAGTGAGGAAAGAGAGGGGAAGGAGGGAGGAAAAGAGCATAGGAGGAAGGGAGAGAGAGAGATGGGTGGTTGCCACTGCTGTTGGTGGAAGGTGGCGGTTGGTAGTCTAGAGGGAGGAAGAGCTGATCTTGTGTAGGGATGTAGGGGAGGAAGGAGAAGGGAGGAGAAAAAGGAAAAGAAAATGAAAAGGAAAACGGAAAAGAATAAAAAGTAAAGTTTTTAATTTTTGCAAACTCTAAGCACACAAAAGTTTTATTCTGATTCTATGGTAAGTTACACTATAGTTTTTGACAAATATCCCAAAATGGACCCCATGATTTTCCAGTTCCAATCAATTGAAGACATTTTACGACAAGTTTCCCCCGGGGCAATTAATGTAAATAACATATCTTGTTACCTCATCTCTAGGAGGACAATAAAACAGGTAAAAGATTCGCATCGAGAAATTTCTCTACTTCAAAATCTTATAAATTCTAAATCTTGAGAAAATTGTAAATCTAATTAAAAAGCTCTTATATTATGTACTTGTTCTCAACTTGAACGAAAATTTGCAATTGGCAGATGTGGAACGTAAGATAAGGTAGTTTACATTTCAAGCCTTGTCTGAATCTCAAAAAAAAAAAAAAAAAAAAAAAAGAAAATGACCGTCTAATTTGAAGCCACCTGCACCACTAGCTACTGCTATACCTGCCCAAAATTCAATTCAGATTTAATCATATAGGTTTCAATTCTATCAAGCATTTCTCTGCCAACGATTCTTGTACAACTTATTTTCCAGGAAACGAAGTTTTAACCTAACCAAAGCAAAAAGTTACATCCTTGTCTGAATGATAAATAAAAAAGAAAAAGAACCATGTAGTCTTAGCATTGGAATTGACCATGTTAAATCCAATTTGTTCAAACAAATTCTGATATCAAGATTTATATGGTGATCTAAGAATTCATAATCAGTATTCATAAATTTAGTACTTGAATGTTATTCTATTCTTTCTTCCTCTCCCACTCTGAATATTAGTTTTTACTGTCTCGCGTCATCTTGATTAGAAGATACTAGGAAGAGAAGCACAAACAAGCATTTTTACACTTTCACCGTCTCGTAGGCTATTTGTCGTTGGCTTCAAAGTTGACAAAAAAAAAAAAAAAAAGAAGTAATTGAATTTAGAGAAAATGCACATCAAATGGCTGGAAAATTTATAAAAACACGGTCCAGCCCTCTCTCCCACTTTCAGCGTTGGAAAATTCTTAAAATATTTCTTACAAATGCACCCCTAAATTTTCTAACATTCATTTTCTCCTCGGTTGATTCTATTTTGCATCCTTCATCTATACTTTGATTTCCACTTTGTTCTTTAAATTGTAATTTAAGACACTTTGGTCCTTAAACTACAAAACTTGTCCAACTTAAGTAAAATCGTAAGTGGAATCTTCCAAAGTAGCAAAATACTAATCACGTGAGAAGGATCAGCAAATAAGGTTAAACAAAAGTCCCAAAATCAGAGAGAAAGAAGGAACTTAGGGACCAAAGTAAGGATTGAAATATAGTTTAGGGACTAAAGTGTCTCCATTTATAATTTGTGGACTAAAGTGTGAATAAGGTATATAGTTTAGTGAATCAAAGTCTCAATTTAGAATTTAGGGACTAAAGTGAGAATCAGCCCATAGTTTAGGGACTGAAGGATTCTAATTTAGAATTTAGGGACCAAAATCAGAATCAAAGTATAATTGAAGGTTACAAAATGAAATTAACCCTTTATTCCTAAATGTGGTACTACTAAATAGTTGAAATCTTTAAAAATTAGCTCCGATAGTACTGCCATTTGCACGCGAAAATTTTTAAATACTTTTGAAGCAACATAAAAGTATGTTTTATATCAATGTCATTTTTTAAGTACTAAAATGTCTTATAATACCTTTATCAATATATTCTCTTATTTCTAGATCCAATAAATGGGAAAGGAATTTTCAGCATTTTACTTGAATTGCCTCATTCTACTTCATGCTTACTTTGCTAATCAGTAATCAATGCTTGCTTTATAGCATTGATGCGTCTTTTGGTTAAATGTTATGAAATCGTGGCTTCATAAAGATGTGGACTTATATAGTAGCCTAGTAGGTGTCATTGTTATCAAAAGGGCAAATTCCACTTTATCCCCCTGTGATTTAGCATTTTTTTAAATAACTCCCTATGGTTTCAAAAACTATATATAACCCCCTTTTGGTTTGAATTAAAGTGTCAAAGTAATGAGAATGATCATTTGTAACGGAGTCATCCAAAATGTCAAAAATACCCTTATATAAAGTTGAACATTATTTATTAACCAAGGGGGGTTATGTGTATATTTTGAAAATCATCAGGGAGTTATATGGTAAAGTATTAAACCATAAGGGGGTTAATGTGTCATGTATTTATAAGGGTAATTTCGACATTTTTTGAAGTTCCATTACAAATGACTATTTCCGTCACTTTGACACTTTAATCCAAATCATGAGGGGATTATGTATAGTTTTTGAAACCATAGAGAAGTTATGTAAAAAAATGCTAAACCACAGGGGGTAAAATATAATTTGCCCTTATCAAAATAACAAAGGGAATAGAAACAAGGAAAAAAAAACTAAAAATCAATGGACTATCCACCGTCAACCACGGCTAAGACGTTAACAGGAGACTAATTTCAAGCTACAAGTTCATTTTAAAGGGATATAAATGTAGTAGGACCTTTCCCATAATTTCATTTTTTTTTTGTTTTTAAGATTATGACAGCCGCCATATCGGTTTCTAGCTCTCGTCATTTGGGTTACGCAACGAGATATTCACCACGTAATTTATTCAAGAAAAGAATGCTGGAACAATTGTTAGTAAGTATTTGGCAATTGCCACTTTGCGGAAAGGCCCTTACAGAATATAATATGCTGGATTTCTATCATAACCACGAAGAAATTTGTCAGCAGAGGCCAGAAAAAAAGATTACAAATTAGTGGTTGACCTACTTAATTCGTACAAGAAGTCAAGCCAACTAGAATGCTATGTTACTTAATATCTTGTTCCGTTGCTTGGTCTTTTCTCACTCGTTTTCACATTTCATCTGGGATGCAGCATTTGCTCAGATTTTTTTTGCTTTAGCACATTGGAAAGAATCAAAGAACTTGCTAAATCTTTTCAAAGTAACTCCAATCCTACATAGGGGAACCGTCCAAGTTTACTTTTTCTTATTCTTAATGGACAGAATGTCACTTCTCCTTTGTGGGAATTAGATATGTCATTTCACATTGTCTAATGCTAACATATGGCGTAGACTTGGTAAAACGATAACGACTATGTATTGGTTTTAATTTCCCCCTAATAAAAGTGTGCAAGTTTTAATAAGGGATAATATCAGATACCTCCCTTGAGATTTCTCCTAATATCACCTGGCACCTCTAATGTTTCAAAAGCATCACTTAATTTCCCTAATAATTGTAAAAAGACTATATTAACCCTCACTTGAAATATAATTCAAATAAATGAAGTTAAAATATTTTTTTTAAAAAAGGAAACAAAAATCAGTTTCTTCTCTTTTCCTTTTCTCCAATATTCTCTCTTACTCATTTTTTGGATGACTATACAATTTTCTATTTGTAAATTATAATAAATTGAATTTTGTTATCTTTTACTTTTTATAACTGTGATAGAGTGGGGTATGATTTATTTGCTTATTTTAAGTTATTTTTTATAATGAGCAGTATAATTTAAAGATTTGGGCACCAATTGAGAAGAAGTTGAAAAAAAAAAAGATAAAGTTTATCAGAAATTGGTTTTGAACATATAGAGTTAAATTAGTCAACTGTATTTCTTTGTAAATATCTTTTTTATTTTTCAAATATATATTTTTATGGATTATAGTATTATGATGTGGTAATAGTACTAGAAATTATTTTTTATATGATGGTTTTATTGAAATAAACAAAGTGATCTAGAAGCATTTTTATTTAGCAAGTAGAAGGAAAATTTAGGGTTTTTAAAAATTTTGTATACAAAGAATAAAAGTAAGGGAGGTAAGTGATATTTTTAAAATCTAAGGGTATTAGGTGATATTAAGAGAAATCTCGAGGGAGGTTTTTGATATTATCCGTTTTAATAAAGGACTAAGAGCCATGATTGGATGCTTGACGTTGCAAGGTTAAGTGCCACGAAGTTCCCTTGACGACTCTTACGCGTTACTCCAAAGCCATGAAGGTCATTGTCAAATACTGTATGGAAACTTTGTTACAGTTTCGTTGCACTTTCCTTGATTGCCATTTGACCAAGACTTTGGTAATTTCACTTCTATATATTCATGATGTTCTATGGCACCTGTTCGAGAAAACCCAACAATATTGGAACTTTTATCCGTTCGCAACATCCCACAAGCAAATAAAAGACATCCATTCCATTATTCTATTTTTTTTTGGCCTGATTTCTCCCACAAAAAAAAAAATTGTCATGGAAACGATCAACTCAATTTCAACAATGGAATTCATCTCAATGCTCACCAAGGATGAAAATCCACTATCAATTGCGATTTTCACTTTGACATGTAAAATCCTCATTTGGATTGCTAGACTTCAAGATTTGTATTTATGTTTTCGCTTCTTGTTTCAATCATATTCTCAATCCCTCATTAGTACATTTGAGGGCTGCTGGAGTAGTTTTGCCGGAAAGAGGAGAAATGTGGATGAGGCCGGTGTAGCCTCATTCTTGAAACCATGCATCAATGAAGACGTCAAAAACGAGGTATTGATCAAGGAAGATATTGAAATAGTGATGGAAAAGCTGGGAATTTCTTGGGACTCAAGTGCAAATGAGTTTGAAGGAAGATTAGGCTTAGGTGAAATTTCAACTTTGTTTGAAGAAACTGAACCTAGTCTAGAAGAAGTGAAGGAAGCTTTTGACGTGTTTGATGTTAACAAAGATGGCTACATAGATGCAGAAGACTTGGACAAAACTTTGTGCGCGTTAGGTTACACAGAATTTTCAGAATTGGAATGCCAAAGGATGATTATTGGGTTCAGCAACAATGAAGATAAACGAATTGATTTGAGACAATTCGTGAAGGTTATTGAACTCAGCTTTTGCTAAGTGACCATATCCTTCAGATATTTTGCCACTATAAAGGCACCAAACATAAAAAAATTACAAATTACCCTTCTATTGCTGCAGTATTATTATCTATTTATGTATGTAACATTTTTGAACAATCCAAGTGTCTGGATAGTAGACTATTTAGGATAATTTTGTGAAAAGTACTGTAGTACTTTTTAATGTGATGTATGTGAGATAAAAAGGTAATTAAAAAATGTATTGATGATATAAACAAATAAAATTTAACAAATAATTTCTATGCCGATAATAGTTGGTATTTAAGCTCTCTTTACGTAGCAAAGATTGGGATTCAAAGCTTTCCTACCAATACTAGTAAAATCAATACAAAAAAAAAATAAGAAATCAATAGAAAAAAAATAAGAAAAACTTCAAGATCATCTTGTTTCAATTACGTAGTACCTGCTACTAATGAATCCCAAAATCAACTTCTCTCTGCTTCTACTTTTCTCTAATTTGCCTCTGCTTCTTCTCCTCTTCTCAAAAGGCCTTCCTCCATAGTCTCCCTGGCATAAATTTCATTTTGTTTTATTTTTCTAATAAAATATCGCCTAAATTTTCTTAATGAGAGTTTTCTATTTCTCCTAAGGGTTTCTAGTGAGAATTTTTATTTTCCTTTTTTTGGTTGCTAGATTTTGAATTTATTTTAAGTTTGATTGTCAGATTTGAAAATTTTTTGGATCTTGAGCCTATCTCGACCAGTCTCATCTATATATATTTTAATTAGAGTTATTTCTCACTCCTACGTAGTAGGCTTAATTGAAAAGAATTAACAGGTTATGGATCACTTGGATTTTACCCATATTGAATCCTATTTGGATTATATTATATATTTAAAAATTATCTCTAATTTTAAAAATAACTAATCTTATCTTAATGATATTGCTTTAACAAACAACTAATATAATCTTAATGATTCTGCTTTCTATCAAATTATTACATAAAGAACTATAATAAAACTTTTTTTCAAATCACAATTATTGAAATCTTACATATCCCAAATCTATGTATATATATATATATATAAGTAACTATTTTAATTAGAGTGTTTCTCACTCCTATGTAGCATGCCTAATTAAAGAGAATTAACGAGTTATGGGTCATTCGGATTTTACCCATATTAAATAATATATATGTTATAAAATTATCCCTAATTTTAAAATAAATTTAAAAAATAACTAATCTTATCTTAATGATATCTGCTTTCTATCAAATTATTATATAGAACTATAGTAATGCCTTTTTCAAATTACAATTATTAAAATCTTACATATTCCGTAAATTACTTTCTTTCATCACCATATCGTTGATTAGTATTCAAATTATTTATCATCTCTTCCTTTAATTTTGAATTAACTTAGTGTAAAAAAGAGAAATAATTGTTACACCTACAGAATTACCAATATCGTTGGAAACCAAATATTTATTGAAAAAAAAACGGATTGCTGGATATTTTCTACTTAATTAAATGTGAATATATATAGTTCTAGATTTGTGGTCATTATAAAAATTTAAATTATCTAAAAAATAGTTATAAAAAAAGAATATCTGTCAAGTTTTTGATGTGGGATACATTATTTGATGTATACTATCATATTATTGTGAAAGTATGTAAACAAAGTTTTAAAAATTAGTAAATAATTTAACATTTAGAATACATTAATTTTTTAAAGTTAATATGAATGGACATGTAGGATTGTTGTTAATTTTTATATTTAAATTATTTATATTTGTATAAATTCACAATGAATAAAAAAAAGACCGTGCTAAGGCACGGGCAAAATTCTAGTTTAGAACTTAAAAGGATTAATTAGCAAATCTGACGATTGCAGTATGCACAGAAGAGAACTGCAACAATTTGCCAATAAAAGACAATTTGAAAATTTCTTGTATTTTTAGATCTATATAAAAATTTTTAAATATACTGCATATGTTAAATTGTAGATCGATTAGATCTGTTATTTCTAGTGCATGTTTATCCTGCCATTAGGATAGTGGTGTGTTGGACGATTTTCAATAATTCTTTAATCAAACTTGCTTCTTATAAAATCAAATTATGTATTATTCACTTCATTCCATTAAAAGTGTCATACTTTTCATTTTAGAATGTCTCAAAATATTTTTCATATTGAGAAAATCAAAGAATTTTTTAATATGACAAAATAATTGGGATGGAGGGAGTATCTTATCGATCATTTCTCTGATTACTTCAATATGAAAAGCATCTTGAGCAAATTGACAATCTTGACAACGATGCTAGTCTACTTAGTACCCTTTCCTTTATTATTTTTTTAGACTTGGGACAAATTGCCACCGTTACTTCATTCATTGGGTTGTTATGCAAATTCATCTAGTGAAAATCATCAACTTGTGGAATACTGGGGCCTCAACATTTTAGTACTAGTAATAGATTAAAGGGATTAATTTGATTTTTTTAATTGGATAAATGGGACTGATATTCGGACGCTATTTTTTTTATGTGAATATCAAAATCTTTTATTGTACACAGTTATCTTAATATTTGTATTTTTTTTATTTTAATATATATATTTGTTGAGTTAATATACACATTCTCTGATACACAATTATGACCGGAAATTGCAAAAGCCCCAAAGACTTGTAACCTTTTAGTTTTTTTAGTTTCTTTTTCTGGTAGTTTGTGTATTGTTTCTTTATATCTTTTTCTTTCTTTTTCCCTTTTTGGTAAATTGTTTATAGTTTCTTTAAATTGCATTTATGCTTATTTCACTTCGTGCCTAGACATGTTAAAATGTTGTGACTTCGAAGGAGATGTGTTTTCCTTTCTTTTTTAATCTTTTTTTTTTTGGGAAAAAGCTCTTAAACTTTTACGTTTGTATCCTTTTGAACATTCAATTAGAAGAAGTCTCATTTTATTTGAGTACTGGTTTGTGAGGTGCCACTCACGAATGCATGGTCGTGCCTAGTTATTTGTCCCTGTCAGGCTACTGACTTCAATCTCAGAAACCTAACTGATGAGATGGAGAATTTGGGATTTGGGGAAGAATTCTCAGAGGAGAAGAAGAGAGAGAATGAGAGGGAGAATAGAGAGAGAAAGAGGAGGGAAACAAAATTCTGTTATTCTCTGATACTCTCCTCAAGCAATCACATTAGTACATATAGGCAAAAATAACCGACTGAACTAACTCTCCGAATCTGTTAGCCTAGCTATGACGTCATCCTACTTATTCATTCATTCTACTGGCTCTATTTGGACATTTGTATGAAACGACAGCGTTACATATTGAATTCTGACATTGCCTTCCCCTTTTGAAGAGTCTTGTCCTCAAGACTGAAACTGAGGAAATTGAGCGTGGATGAAATCTTTGTCCTCCCAAGACGCCTCTTCCTCACTTAGTTGCCACCACTTGATCAGATATTGAATCACCGACTGTCCATTCTGCATGATTACCCGCCGTTTCAAAATGGCCTCTGGTTGTAAAGAGCATTGATCATCATTATCGAGCTCAAGCAGGGTAGCTGAAATTGGTTGTAATGGCCCTATCTTCTTTTTGAGCAATGAAACATGGAAGACTGGATGAATTCATGCTCCTGTAGGTAGTTTGAGAAGATAAGCCACTGGCCCCACCTTAGCTTTCACTTGAAATGGACCATAAAACCTGGCAGAAAGTTTGAGGCACCTTCTGATAGCAACTGACTGTTGTCTATAAGGCTGCAATTTTATAAAAACCCAATCACCCACTCAAATGTCCTTTCTGTACGTTTTTTATCTGTAAAAAATTTCATCCTCTGTTGAGCTTTGGTCAGATGATCTTTGATGCTGTTGGAGATCCTCAGCCTTTCCTGGAGTAATTGAGATGCAGCTGGTATGATGGTGTCGAAATGAGGACCAAGAGGTAAAGGAGTGGGCTGGTAACCATATAATGCTTCAAATGGGGTCATTTGTAAACTGGAGTGGTAAGAGGAGTTATACCACCACTCAGCCAATACTAGCCACCTACTCCAATTGTGGGGAAACTCTCTAGTCATGCATCTTAAATAAGACTCAACACACTGGCTAAGCCTCTCACTTTGCCTATTTGATTGAGGGTGGTACGCAGAACTGTAGTTCAACTCTGTCCCTGCCAGTTTGAAAAGCTCCTGCCAGAAGTTACTAGTGAATATCCTGTCCCTATCAGTCACTATGGATTCTGGAAATCCATGCAGTCGAAAGATGTGATCCAAGAAAAGTTGAGCCACCTGTTTAATAGTGAAGGGGTGGTTTAAGGCAAGGAAATGTCCCACCTTAGTCAATCTATCAATTACCACGAGTACTGTATTATATCCCTGTGACTCAGGTAGATGTTCTATGAAGTCCATAGTCAAATGAGTCCATGCCATACGAGGGACAGGTAGAGGTTGTAGCAAGCCAGGGTATTGTACATGCTCAGACTTAAACCTTGGACAAGTGTTACAAGCTTGAACAGCTCAAATAACATCCTGCTTCATAGTAGGCCAGTAGAAGAGAGTTTTGATCCTTTGGCAACATCCCCTTTGTCCAGAGTGGCCTCTAACTGCAGATGCATGAAGGGCTTGTATTAGTCTTTCCCTCAACCCATTGGACGAACCCACATAAAGTTTGCCATTATACTTAAGTAATCCACTGTCCCATTCATACTGTAGGTAAGCAGCAGGATCTAGTATTAGTTGGGAGATGGTGTTTTGGCACTGAGGGTCTGAGTCATAGCTCCCTTGAAGTTCTTGTATCCACAATGGCTTGACAACTGAAAGAGCTAAACATGATCCTTGTGGAGCTGCCTGGCCTAGATTACCTCTTTGTAGCCTAGACAATGCATCTGCCACCTTGTTTTCTGCCCCTTTTTTGTACTGAATCTCATAATCCATTCCTAGTAACTTAGCCAATCATTTATGTTGCAATGCAGTAGTGAGTTTCTGGTCAAGCAGGTACTTCAAAGATTGATGATCAGTTTTGATAATAAAATGATACCCCATCAGATAGT